TTCCTTTTGCCCCCATTCTCACAGCCCCAAATGTGCCCCAACAGCTCCCCCCTCGGGAGCTGCAGAGAGACATTTTGGGAGACTGGTCCCTTGGTCACTCAGCTTCAAGGCCAGAATACAAAATGTATTTTGAAACAGCTACTGTGTTGCTATAATTGCTTTACCTAATACTCCATATGAAAAGTTATAAAATGACCCAGAAAAAAAAACCTGACTGCATTCTAAATACTCTTCCTAATTGTATGTAAAAAATGAAGTGGCTGTTTTCCCCAGTTGATTCCTAAAGTTATAAAACCAGTCTAGGTTAGTTTATAACCTAAACTTTAAGAACTGGAGTTAAGAAGAAATGTAAGACAACACTGCTATCATATTGCCATCATTAGTGAACGTATCAGGTTCTCAATCTCCTTCCTATTGGCAAAGAGACAGAACCAAACTATTTACAAGAACTGTTTCTTTTCTCTGCCCCTTCTGTGAAGTGAAATGTAGCACCAAATAGATCTGATAAGTGATCTGATTTTTCCCCAGTTTGCTCTGCCTAATTTTTTGAGATACTTAGAGCAGTACTTTCAAACTTGCCTTCCTACCATAGCCAGACTATGTTTTACTTCTAATAACGGACATATCTAACTTTCAGACAGTCATTATGCCACACGCAGTAGTGAACAGCAATTCAGATTCAAAAGTGGTATTCCGTACTAACATTGCATATAAATTACAGATAAAAACATGAACTGAAAAATTCCAAGGTGCAATTCGTTTAGGAAGGGAAGTAAAATTCTTTGGTGAGCATCGAGACAATGCAGGGAATCTGCTTCTTCGCGTTAAAATCCTGGCGAGTGGAGCAGGACTCGTATTCGGCCACTCTGCGATTGACACGAGTCAAAATCTGCATGAGTTCCAGTTTCCTGGCATGTTCCTTCAGCATCTTACACAGAGACTGGATAAACCAGGAGCCTTCAGCTGCATTCCTCCAGGAGTAATAGCCTGTGGCAGAGAGAGGTGTCAAATTGATCAGATGGAGCAAGACAGGGCGGGAGAGCGATTAGAGGAAGCGGTCACCCACCGACTGGAAACAGCTACAAATTGTCATTTACAATATCGATACAAGCTGATATCTAGACACAATTTGTGGAACAAAAATTCCTTTGCAAGTCCCACCTGGAGCTGTAGAATATGCATACAGGAAGTCTGCTTCTACAGGTATTTTCTGGCACATCGTTTCCTCTGATCCACTGTCTGTCTCAATGCCGGAGTCTAATTCTGTCCCTCTACAAGCCTATTTGGTAGAAAGAAGGGAAAATGAAATTAAAAAAAATAAAGAAATAAAGGCAGTAATCATTATCAAAACACTGGGGGTTTGTTTGGGTTGGCTGGTTTGGGTTTTTTTTTCATTTTAAAGACAATAATATCCAGATTAAAAACTGGCAAAAA